CCGCAGCCCCGACCCGGATGGAGCCGGGCCGCCGCCGCCACCCGCCCCCGTCCCGGGAGGTGGCTCAGGCGGCCGCCCCCTGCCCCGGGAACAGCAGCGCGCTGCTGGCCTGGGCAGGCCTGCTCGGGGGAGCGGGGGGACACCACAAAACCCAGAGACACACACACGCCCCGCCGCTGCCAGGTCCTGGGCACTGCTGCTTTTCTCCGTGGCAGGACCGAGCTCGATGGATAAATAGGGATTTTTTTAATAGGGAAAAAGTTTTGCCGAGCCTCCACGGCCCAGTCACTGCCCGACCGAAGGACTCGTTACGGACCAACGCGCGTAAATCGCCAGGAAAGGAAACCCATCAGTTACCCCCAGAGACGCCTCCATCGCCGCCGTTTCCTTCCAGGCAGCGTTGCATTTCTGACAACTCGGGAAGCAAAATTTAAGACGCCTTAACGAGCCCCTTGGCAACTCCATCCATTCCTGTACGGAGGGAGGACAGCCCGGTCCCAGCGCACCATCCACCTCCTCCAGCCCATCACACAAGAAATTCGGTTCAGGTAAGGTATTCTTATCACAACAGATCAAGGCGGCTGTTCTTGCCGATGGGGAAGTAAAGTATGCTCTAAAGCCGTTTTGATGGAAAATGCCAGGTAAAATCTTGTAACTTAATCTGCTGCTGCCCAAATCCTGAGGGATTTCCCTCCATCCTTCAGATTGTATCCCCAGGATCAGTCCAAATAACTTTTGGTTATTTACCTTCCTGTAAAGATAACTAAATCTGTTTGAACTAATATAGTAAGTCAGACCAGAATTCTTGTGCAAATCGTTTTATTAAAAAAAGCAAGGGTTCTCTGCAACAAAAGGTAGGTACAACACTAATCATAAAATTAACTTTTCAAGGACTAATTTTGATTGTGACAAAGGCTATGTCTCAAGTTCAGAAAGTCTTATTCTCAAACCTGAAAACACAGCCAACACATCTGTTAATTATGACCTCTTAACTATAAAAACCCCACTCTTCTGTTGAGTTACCAGCACATTATCAAGTTTTAACATGCAGCATCCACGATGAATCTGTAAATAATCCAAAATGTTACTAAAATGCTAAGATTCCTATAGAACCTTTCACATTTCATAGCTTTAAGAGTTTTCCTTTCCAGTTCTCATGAACTAACATAAAAAATTGTTTCTCTAAATATATGAAAAACCCCATCTCAGGTGACATAAAAAGAATTTCAAAGAACCCCATAGTTTGGTCTTAGAATTAATACCTGAAAAATATCTTTACAGGGAAAAAAATAAAAATTAGTAATTTACCTTTTCTTCACTTTGTATGCATGTGTGTATTATGGACATCAATTAACATGAAAATACCTTGCCCTAGTGACTATCTTCCTGCTTACCAAAACCAAACAGGCACCAGGGAAGTTACCCATCTTGGACATCAGTAACAGTGACAGCTGTCAGAATCTGAGGTACCTTAAATTTCTTCTGCAGCACCAGGACCGAGCTGTAGGCATCTCCCACATGCTGATAACAGACTAATGAGTATCATTAAGAATGAACCTGGCATTTCCCAGTAGTTCAAGGTGTTCAGTACTTCAAAGGGATACTGGAGTCGTTTCATGCAAAAAGTTGTCTGTTCACATAAATAGCCTCTGCATCAGTACCATATACTAGGCATGGTCCCAAAATATCTAAACTATTCACAGACAAAGTCTGATTTGGAATTAAGTTGGTGATTTCCATGCGGTCTTTGGTAGGATCGTTGCTTAGCCAGGCACTTACTACAGACTGGTTAATGGTATTGTGGGAAAAATAGGTAGTACTTCTTCCTCCTAAAAGAAGGAGAGGGAAAAGAGGAAGAGAGGGAAACAAGTTCCAATTGAATTTATATTATTCTCAGAATTTGGAGAAACATAGTAGCTATGGGACAGACATAATGGGAATATCATTTTACATTTAAGTCAGTTTTCAGATTAGTTAACAGATGTCATCTCTTTGGTTAATGGAGGGGAAAAACACTTGAAAAAAATCAAGTACTTGAAGTGATTACAGAAACTGCTAGCAGCTCTGCCCTCAGTTAAGACAAATAGGTCAGAACAGCTATGAACTCATGTCGCTGAACAAGTGTAACTATCTACAAGTTTTTCTAAACTGAGACTAAAGCAAGGACAGACCTATAAACAAAAGTCTGTATAAACAGTGTCTTGCTATATCTGGGACATCAGCTTTGCTTTAACAACACTTATTCCTTACCGTCCCTTCTCACTACTTACTCAGCAGTAAGTGACATACCTAGATTTGACTTTAGTTTTTTTCCACACATTTTACATTCAGACTGAAGTCTCACAGTTTGAGAACTATCATTCAGCATAAAGTTAGCACCACTTCAGCCACTTGTTAAAGGGTTTATATTCAATATACCTGAAAACATG